AAATTTGCTTGCAAAATAAGTAAAAAAGAAGGATAAGATTAATATTCTAAGAATAGTATAAGCACCAAAAATTCAAGTGCATATAATAAATCTAACAATGCCTATTGTTTAATCTCCAAGATCTACACTAATGAAAAATAATATAGAAGTTGAAGAGATTATATGTGGAAAGGAAGATCTTTAAATGAAATTGGCAAGATTTGAAGAAAATATTTCTATAAAAATATTTAAGGCTATTTTTAAACTAAAATATATAAAAAGATACATTTAATATAATAATTTTTTTTATACTAAGAAGGATTGCAATGCATTTAAGCATATAATTCAACGAATTATTTTTTGGAAAGATAAAAAAGTATAATTAAAAAATACAAGAGACCTCCTTCAATTTTCAAAAAAAATATATGAAAGCATTAATTTAAGATTATTTAAGAGTATATGGAGTAGCAACACATAAAAGTATAAGTTATGGTATTAGAATAGATGTTGACTATGATAAAAGTATAAAAACAAGTAGATTTTGGACTTTTTCCATTTCCATAATGTAGAAAGAAAAAACACCTTGAAAAGCATTATTGAAAACTATAGGTAAAATACATGGTTCAATAACTTAAAAAGAACTTATAGAAGCTCTTTTAGTTTATGCATATATTAGTAAGAACTAACATGAATCTTTGATAGAAGAAAAGAAGAAAAGAAATTTTAATGATATAAAAAAAAGAAATTCTTTTAAGAGAAAAATTCAAAGAAACAAGGTTCATGATACAAATTTATTAGAATTTCCTACAAAAGTTATTTTAACAACATTAGAAGGAAAAAAAAATGAGACAAAAGATAAAGGTAAATGAATAACTTATAAACTAATCTCTAATATTGAAGCAATAACAAATTCAAAGGATGTTGGAAGAACATTTACTAAATACTAAGATAGAATTTAAATTAAAAGAGATTTTAGGAATTGCAAAGAAGGAGTTTCATGATGTTATTATTGACAACATTAAAAAAAAAGAGATAATTAATAAATAAAGTTGGAATGAGTCATGCTATTGATGCAAAGATATATAAGGATGAAGAAGAAGTTGATAATTTTTACAAGCAATTAATAAGTAAAAAAAATTTGTTATAATCAAAAAATATATTTTGAGGATTATGATGACAGAGAAATAGAGACTTTAAGCCATTATACTTGAAAATATTGGACAAAGATTACTACAAAAGTATTGGTAAAGATAGGAGATATATAAAAACTTATTGTTGCTTTAGTAGACCATGGTTTCAAGATAAATCTTATATCTAAAGATCTTAATAAGAAGCAAAGATGGCCAATTGATATAGAGCATGGATAGACAATATGAATAGTTAATAATATACAAGGTGAATTATACAAATTTTATCCAGATATTAATATTTGGATTAGAGATGTTCAATAGAATTTAGAAATATTAAGGTTGGAGAATGATAGAGGCCGACATCCAAGTGGAATTTATGAATTATTATCTATTTAATATGTGCAATTTTTTTAAAATACTTTGTACTTATTGCGAATTTAGTTATTTCAAAGTTTTTAAATTTTAAACCAAAATCAACGATTCATTATGCTATAGGATTTACTAAGAATTTATTTAAGATTTAAAATTTGATTGAAGATTAATTAGGATTAATTTAGAGAGTAAGTTTTGATTTGAATTTGCTTAAGATTTGATTTAGGATTTGATTAAGATTTAAGATTTTGCTAGAATTTTATTTGGATTGATTTAAAATTAAAATATGGTGAAGATTTAGGATTTTATTAGGATTTTATTAGGATTTAACTTAAGATTTGATTAAAGTTTATTAAGATTTTAATTAGGATTTAATTAAGATTTGATCAAGGATTTGATTAAGATTCATTATAATTCCAATTAAAATTAGATTATAATTAAATTAGGATTTATTTAGAATTTATTTAGGATTTCAATTTTTAATATTTTTTAAGGGTATTTTTTTATCTCTTTAAGAATTCTATGTTATTTGTTTTTAGATTAATTTATGATTTTTTTTGTTTTATTTGTAACTTCTTTTAAATTTACTTTGGATTGATTGAAGTTTCATTAGAGTTATTAAAGATTACATAAAGTTTATTTAAGACTCTAGTAGACTTAGTAGGATTGTTGTTGTATTTCTACTTACCTTCCACAACTAGATGCACATGCATTCTCATGCAAGAATACATGTAATACAACAATGGATTTAGTTTTCTTCACTAAAGATATTTCTTATTTTTAAATAAAGTCTTTGTCTATAAAACAAACTAAGGCTTCTGAATCTAATAAAGCAAAGATTTTATGATATTTAGATCCTAAACATACATCTATTATAAAATAATATGAAGAATCTAAAAAAAAGAGAAGACATTTAGTAGATGTTGCATATAATTTCAATTGCATGGTTCCTATTGTAATTAAAAAAAACTTATTTTTTGACACATTATCTTCTTTGGCAACCATATTTGTCATTATGTAATTGCATTGTTTCTTTGGATAATGATGGGCAATTTGCTTAGCTTCTTTATAATATAGGCACAAACCTTCTTGATGACATTGAATTTTTTTTATTCATTGAAAAATTTAAAATATATCGTATCAATTTATATTGATTTTGGCCTTGACAAATAAATTTTGAAAATTTAAGAGCTACCGTCATTACTTGACTTATTCCTTTTCAGACAAATCTTTGTTCTTGATGCCTTTCAAATAGTCGATTGTCACATACAATAGCTTAAGCAATAAATTGTTCTAAAGGATTTGCTTTTAACATTGCCAATAATATATCTTTGACATTATCCTTTAATCCATATCAAAATTGATTGATAAGGGCTTTGTTGTTGTAGTCTATTTCAAAAGCAAGATTTTGGAATTTATCAACATATATGGTGGTTGATCATGATTATTGTGATAAAAACAAGAGTTTGGTCTTTGCTATTCTTTTTCAATCACTTTTTCCAAGTGTGGCCATAAATATTTTTAGAAATGAATTCAAATCATAAAAGAGCTATAAATCATTTTCCATCAAAGTTGTAGACTAAAAGAAGGTACTTCTAAATAGAAGTGTGTCTATAAATCAAACTTAAATAAATCCATCAAGGTATTGGAAAAAATGCTATCTTAAATAGAGCATGACTTCTTGCATAAATCCTCAAAATTTTGATCTTATTCCATGAAACTTCTTGAGCATACTAATCCTTACATCTTTCATGCTTGTAGTCGCAAGACTTCTTGGATTTTATTGTAAAATTAATCTATTTACTTCCCTCAATCATATAACTTTTTGGCATTGACTCTAAACTTCTTTTATTAGAGTAGAAATAATGCTTCTATGGTTGGTGTTGGTAATGCATGAAATTTCTACCCTAAGAGTATTGATAAGCATGTGAAGATCTAAGATATACTTGGTGGAAGTGACAATAGATTTGCAACCTCAAAAACATAACAACAAAAGTAGAATAATCCACTCACTTCGAAAAATAAGGCAAGAACAATAAATTAATATTCTTGTCTATTTGTCAAGGATAAAAACTTGATGAAGATAAATAAATAAATGAGACTATTTTCAAAGAAAAAAATAAATATACATATACATATACATATATTAAAAAATAAATAAATAAATAAATAAATAAATAAAACTAAAAAACTAAAAACTAAAATGGTTATAGTCAAAAGAAAAGAAAACTAAAAATCCTTGAAACTAGATTAGAAGCAAGAAAAGAATTGACAAGAATAAAGAAGGCTTCATTTTTGCATCTATATATACTATCTATCTAAGATTAAAAAAATAAAATAAAAATGCCTTTTTTCTTTTGTGGTTATAAAAAAATAATTATTTTTTGAACATTCTTGTCTATATTATTATTATTAAAAAAATAATGAACAATATTTAAATAGTTTTATTTTTAAAAAATATTTTTTAAAAAATTTGATTATTAATAATGTATTGAGTCTCTTTAAATAAATATACAAATAAAAGAAAAAATTATTTGGCTTATACCTTTTATACTTTTAAATTTCATTTGAAACATTTTCTTTTTTTCAAAGAATTTTCTTTTTGAAATAATAATAATAGTAATAATAATAATAAATTTAGATAAATATTAATTTCTATTTATATTTTATTTTTTTATTTTTTATTTTTTATTCTAAAATATTTTTTATTTAACATCTAATTTTAAATATTTTAGTGTTATTATAAAAAGCATGTAGTAAACATTTGATGTTTATAAATTTGAATATTTTATTTTTAAAAATAAAAATAAAAAATAAAAAATATGATATATTTTGATATTATAGTTGACATATTGTATGTTATATTCATTAAATAAAATTTAATATACTTATCAATACATATATTTTTTCTTATTAGATGCTTTTTATATCTTATTTCTTAAACAAAATCCTAACAAAGGATCATGAAGTTTAGAGACCAACATGATACATCCACTATTGGTTATAATTTAACTATTTTTTTCTAAGAGGCATTTCTTATTAAATATAAAAGAATAAAATTATTTAAATAATTAAATAAAATATGCAACAAAGAAAGTTGTTTACTAAATATGAGTTACATTGCTACAATTATGTACTAATTCAAGTGTAGTTCTGTTAAGAATTAGAGTTGTCAAAACCTCTTCAAAGAGCATCAATAAAATATCTTGGGCAAATCAACATTACAATTTTATCAAGTTATAAAAGTTCTATTTACTTAAACAAGTTATCCATCAACTTGTAATTAGGTACATATTTGGCTTTTAATATAAGTAAAAATTATAATTGAACCCCATTTAAGAAAAAATCACAAGTGTCTATTCTATTACCATGATTGGGTTTGTAAACTCTGTACAAAACCAAATACCTCACCACCGTATACTAATTTGTTGGTAAATAATAAAATTTCAAATCAAGTTTAAGAACCATGTAAACATCTATATGCCCTCATTTACAGAGTTACACAAAATCAAACAAAGATTTATGTAACATTTTTGTCATTATAAGACTTATAAATTCAACAACATTACACTGGAGTTGCCTTACCATCCATTGAGGAATGGAAGGCATTGCAACCAGGGGATCTTAGAATCCATGCGAATGTGCTGCTGAAGATGTTTCTTTTATGCTTCTTAGCCATCATATTGCAGCAAGGATAAATTGCAAGTTTTAGAAAAGTTACTGTACTTTCTAAAAACATTGACTACTGTTGAAGAGGAGAACAAAATAAGCCTCCTTAGAGTCTATCCATAATTTATGATTCCTACTCTGTTTTGTGCACAGAAATGACAAATTTGCAGAAACGATTATTTTGAACGCACCGTTTTCTGTAAGCTACTTATGGCCCTTCAATTCAGTGGAAGAATTAGTTCAGATAAACCTTGGTTGAAGTAGATCGACCACCCTCTACTCCGAGGTCTGCATTGCCACTACTGCTCTAATCGAACAAACCCTCCAAATTCATTTACAAATAATCCAGTAAATATTACAAAAATGGATGCCCATACCAGACATAAAATTCGTCGCCACTTGAACCGAGCCAGAATTCATTGCTCATGACCATTGCAGAACGAAAAACTAATCCGCAACTTGGAGCATGTAGATCCGCTCATTTCCTCTTAACGCAAACGACCACCCTATACCAAAAATAAAACAAGGTCAGCAATCGCTGATCGATGAGTTTGTAAATGTCATTACTTGTCACCGTCTTTGACGACCAGCTGTTGGTGATCCTCTTCTTCGTGTGTTGTAGTAGGCTCCTCTCTTCTTGACTGGTGCTCTTCGTTTTGTTTCAAAACCTCAGCAAGCTGATGGTCTCTTTTCTGCACCTCTCTTTGCAGATTATACACCTACATAGAAAATAGGTAGATAAAGGTGGGAATGCTTGTTGATTCTAAGGTATGCGTATCCAGGAATCCGACTGATCCAGACATCCTAATACTGCATTTGAATATGTGATACTGTTCATGATACAAATTCACTAGGTTTGAATTCCATGAGCCAGGCGGTGTGAGAGATGAGTCATGCAGAGTGACATTGCACCCTCAAGATAGAAACAAAGGCATAGAAAGACATACAAAATTGGATATGTACAGTAGCCTAGAAAGGATCCGAAGCAGAAAGTTACCCCGAGTAGAAAACTAATTCACTTTGTCATTCGGAATTAATAAGATACTCACCATTTGTTGCGATCGTTCTAACTCGTAATTCACATCTTCAACAGTATCATACAATTCTGTAACAGCCCCCATCAGAGTTTAAAAGACTAATACATGACGACATTTGAAGTCTATATGATCCTCTTCGCACAAAAAACTTAGGCGATCTTTCCTTTTAACACAATTGAATGAATCAGATTAACTCGGTGTGTGAAAGTGTTGCTTGGCAATATAAGCAATGCATTGCATAACATCAAAGTTCGCTTTGGGAATAAAAACAAACGCCGGGGATATAATCACCTTGATAACACCGTCTAAGTTTTGAATTGAGAGACTTCTGCACTGCCAGCCGGGTCCCTAATTCATGAACCTGCCCCAACCGTACAACTTACAAGTCAAGTTTTCAATAGGAAACTAACAGCACCAACACAGGCTATCAATGACAGAGGGGGACAGTGTTATTCTACCGTATGTTTAACATTTGTCTCCATGTTTCATAGGTAGTGTTCCTGTAACTAACCTTGCCTTCTGAAGCCTCACGGCCAATTTCCGAATTTTCTTCCTGGAGCGTGCGACATTTTGCCATCAAAAGCTTGCCATGCTTGCTATGAGGAGTGAATTGCACAGCTGCAAGGTCATCTTGCAGCTCCTTCACCCTTTTGTCAGCAGCTTCGAGCTCTTTCTGTGCATAAATGAGAGTATTAACAAGTGCTCAAGATGGAGACTACAGAGTGTCATTGTACAGTAAAGATCACTTGGAAACGGAAAAATAATCTCACGTCGAGAAAAGAAGTGGTAGATACACAATACCTTCATGCGTGAGAATTCGGCATGGATTGCAGGATCTAGAAACAATCGCCGAGTCTGAATGGATCAAGGGATAATGCTGGTTAAATTAGGAGGTTTGGTACATTTACAAAAGAGTACTTATAGTTCATTAATTCCTAGTTGAACGTTTTAATCACAAACAGAACTAGTTAATTCATGAAGAGAAATTGCATTGTGACGCATTTATGAAGCAGAAATTAGCAAATTAACAACTCACCTGCTGCATTGAAGGTTTTAACATTAACTTCAAGTCATGAACCGTACTCTGAACATGCCACCGGCAAACCCACACATAATACAATTATATACAATAACAACTCAGGAGAAGAATTTACTAAAAAGAACCCTCAGCAAGCTCAAAATCCAAGGAGTAGATCCAGAAATCTTTTAAAGTCTCACCTTCAAGTCCACAACCTCCTGCTCTGTGTTGGCAAGTTTCACAACCAACACGCTTTCCCTCCTTTTTGCGGTCAAGAGCTACACAAAGCATATATGATTATCAAAACATTGGCAACTAGCGATGATTGACAGAACCTTATGGATCCTAAATACATATTACCGCCATTATACTAAACTGCACGAGCGAAAACACACACTTAAAAGTAAGAAAGCCAAATTATATCAACACGTAGAAGATACTGAAGAAAAATATGACGCACGCAAGATAATAAGCTGACCTGCTCTTTTAATTGACTCTCTGTGGTCTGAAGCTTTTGCATTGCCTGCGTAACTACTGCAGGATCTAGAAACACAGTAACTTTCAAGTAAGTCATCAAGTCTGGCTTACCTAAGATACACGGCAAGCAATGAAACAAACGAAACCAAATCTAGGACATGTTGTGAGAGGAGAGTTTTACCAACTGCAAGGAGAAACATTTAAATAAGATTTCATTGAACAAAAAGACGTCAGAAAGCATGTGTGCCACCAAGGCAAGCGTCTTGACATCTCCAACAAGGTTAAGGAACAGGATAGTGTTTATTTTTTATCAAGTTCCAGGAAACTTGACATTCCATGGTTTTATATAAGTGTCACGTCTCAGCCCTTGCGAATCTCTTTCCTTTCGAAAGTTCATGATTCCATTTCTATAACAAGACAGCTAGACACATACCATATTGGAATATACATCTTTCACACAGAATGCTCCGATCACGTTGCCGTCGGGAAAGTAAAGGATAAGAAAAAAGAAAAAAACAGAGAACAGGTTTCAGCAAAGCTTTACACCAAGCGAGGAATAATACCAGCAGTGGTTCCAGCGGGGAAAAGTGAGTCATTTATGAAACTGTTCTTCCATTTGTCCAGCTCCCCATTAGCAGCATCAAGAGATGCCTGTGGAATTATTTCAAATTGACATGCAATAGGATCAAATCATAGGATTGTAAGTGTACCCTTGATGTAACTAAATTGTAGGCCCGAAAACCATGAATTCTCAGTTGAAAAAATACTTAAGTTATATGTAGAATTGAAGGGGGATTCAAACCTTCAAGGTAGCGATTGTGCTGTCACGATCTTCCAAGCTGAAAAACCCAATGAGGCGTAGTTAGCAAGGGTTGTGCTATCTGCTTCAGGTAGACACATTGTGATACACTAGACGATGAAATCTCGCCAAACATACCACTCTCACAGCAGCACAAATGGTCCAGTGGAAAAGGAAAATCAAGTGGAAGGGGATGTGCATCATAATAATGTCAACTGGAAGGTTGAGGATTAATATTTCATGATCAGGTAGAAGTTCTAAAGAAAAAAGCTATTCAGACGTTGAAGCATGTTACACATCGACCAAACAAGTACTATGATCCCCTACGTGGATCGTAGATTGAGTATGGTTGTCGTGGCATGGTCACTGCTGGGTCCATGAGAAGCATAAATCTGTCCACAACAAAAAGAAATCAACTATTATTATTTTAAAAACATTCTTTTTGGATAGTGCACCTACGCATGTTGGTGAAGGGTAGCTTCAGCGACTCCCGAACATATTTTCTTTACATATTGAATGAAACGTAATTGAACACTGAGCGCGGCTACCTGTCGACTGTTGGTGAACAATGAAAATCAATTAAACCTCAATGCATAGTATTTCTGATAAATCAGCTACAGGGGAAGAATAAGAAAGAGTGTCTGACCTTCTTTGAAGGATACAATTCTTCCTCATCATCATCGAGGTCGGCAAACTCTCGCTTCACTCCTGCATCTCAAAGAACAGGTTTTCACTACCGTAACAATAAGTGATGTCTAATCAAGCTCTTTCAAACATTCTAGCGTCTCCTATCAATTTCATATGCCAAGATCTATCGTAAGCGTACAGACAAAAACTTTATTTACTGTGCTTCCTGTTCCAACACCCTCCTACTCAGCTTAATTTAGACGGTAAGAAGACAGTTCTTAATTGCGAAAATGTGCGCCAAGAAAACTTCTCTACAAGTCTGGAACCACGACTTCTCACTACCGATGATTCGTTTCTAGTTTAAGTTACTCATGAAAAAACTTATTAATCTCATTAGTCAATACTTTAAAAACATTGAATAGGTGACACTACAAGTAGCTCACCTGTCATGCCATTCTCATTGCATGTTTCCCCATCAAAATCAAACATCTCCTGCAAACAAAAAGACCTGTCAGGTACTAAACACACATGGACATGTCATCAGGCCAATCTATACCCTGGAAACTGCAACCGGAAAAGTTCAATAGAAAGAGCTGCACTGGGGCACAAAGCCCTAAAACACGGGGTCCTTCTCAGTTCAGCGTAGAAGTTCATGATAATTGAACAAAAACCCTGGCGGCCCTGTTAAGAAAAAATTAGAATAATTATGATCAATTATGATCAATTTCTCTGCCTCGATTATATCAACCCACCAACTCAAGCTCACAAAAGTTTCAGACACAAATCAAAATGTTGTTTTTCCCCACCGCCGCCCCCGGTTTTCCTGTACAGAAACAATTTGAATCAACAGTCTAAATGCAGCATTTCCTTTGGAAAACCCTAAACTGCACATTAAAGACGTCCCTCTTTCAACCCGCGATGTACCCTAAACTAGAACGCACTAAAATTCTACGCTGGTTGCCACTCGATATCGAACACACTAATTTTGATATATCTTTTTCAATACTGCATCGTATCCTCTACTCATGTCAGGCATTGCAGTTACAAAGCAGCGCGAGATCCAGAAATCGAAAAAAGCATTGTTCTGAAACACTAAGAGAGGGGAGGGGGAAAAAAACGATCGCGAAATTACGTCGTCGGCGAAAGGAGGAGCCGTCTTGGGCGATGCCATGAGCAGCAACAACCTCCACCATGCAACGACGTGAAACTCGCAGAGCTTCTTCTTCTTCTTATTCGTTCCAGTTGAGATCACAACTGAAGCTCCTTGGATACATGAGATTAACTTTGCGCGAACATTACAAGTCTGGAGCTGGGAGCAACCTGCAAGGAATCTCCGTCATCCCCTCTCGCACGTCTGCGTCAGCTGTCCCACAGTGTCCACCGTGGACAAACCTCCTTAGACTTTTGCCTTTTAGTAATTCTCTGCATGGCTGATAAAATAATATAATATAATATAATAACAACCCTTCCTGCTATTTCCCTATCTCCGCAATTCCAATGCCGGCAATCCCCCCCCCTTCATTGTTTTCCTATTGCTTGTATGTGACGTTGTTCGTGCTCACACCAACATTCATTTTTTTTCAAGAGTGCCATGCCTTCTCAACATTCTACACCAACTTTACATTCACATTATATTTTGGGATACATTTAAAACATTTCCATTCGTTGATTTTTTTTTTTTTTTTTTTTTTTTTTTTTGTGAAGGTTTTAGGGTAAAGCAGAAGACTTCAATTGCATATTCTACAACTATTTTTTGGAGGTAAGATAAGAAACTTGATGGCCGATTCCCACCTTTACATAAAGTAACATCTTGCTTTAACAAAATTAAGAATAAAAACAATCACAGAACCTCTTTTTTCGTTGTAAGTTGTTTGTTTCTGAAACCCGTTTTTGAATATCTGATTTTTTATTTTTTTTTATTAGAGACGGACATCTTTATGGAATGAGTTATTTGGAAATTTACAAAGACCTTCAGCACCCTCAGAATAGTGAAATTTGCTGTAAGCCACAAGTTCATTCTGAACAACCAAACAAATGCTACAATATACACAAGCTTGAAGTTGCTGAATGATGTAGTGTGCACAAATGGCTGATACACAATAAAAAGATGGAAGGTGTGCTAAGGGAGCATGGCCTCTGTGCCTGCATAATAGAATTTTTAATGATGAGCATGATTTTGGAACACTATTAACTGAAGTTTCCACAATGACATCTGCAAAAACATCCTTACTTACTGTCTGCTATTAAATCCATCTCAATGTCCACTGAGCTGCAAGGAAGCACAATTCATTGCCAAACTAAGCAAGTCATTCCCAAAACTGGAGGCTCAAGTACCAACTAAAACAACAGCTTATGTGTTGTATGTAGAAGGCAAGATTGTTATGAAGTTGTGCACATGCCAATTGGGGGCAATGCAACCATCCATGTTAGCATTGTTACCAGGACATCTGTGTACAACCATGAGCAGAAATTGTGAATTGTGAAGTATGATAGAACATGCTTGAAACATATTAGTCTTATGTTCATTTACCTCTGAAACAAGTGTGCAATTAAGTATTCTAATGATGATCAGATCTCTCATTTCTTAATATATTCTTCTAATACATTAGATACTTCATAACCACTTTAACAAAAATTAAAGTATTCTCCTTGTTGGAATTAGAAATCCAATAATGGAAACCATACTGATTTGTCTAAAGAATTAACACGGTGCTGGAAGCGGTTGGGACTCCTCATTTCATGTGTGCCACGAAATCTTTAGATCTGAGATGGCCTCCATAAGAAATTGAATACGTCAGCCATTATCGTTGAAATGGGTTCGGACTACCAAATCATTCTCACTTCGACAGAGTGAAGTAAGTAAACATATGGCCCTGAACAACCAGATGTCGCTCCTTGGAATGTAGTCCTTCTTTTAAAGTTTCAATTTTGCAAACGCAGCACTGTCTACAACGTCAGGCAACGGAATGCCGAAATGACGATTGAGGATGTGACCTTCTTGATTAACACAATCTTCGATGCTGTAATCAGCCAGAAACCACAACAGTCGATTTTTGCCGCAAGACTCTTGCGCACAGTTAGAGAAACAAGCGCTAGACATTCCAGAACCTAAAGTGGTGAATCCTTGAATGAATTTAACGGAGTCGCCACCTCTCTGAATCCTTCGACGAAGACAGGTTCACTGAGTGCGATAACTTACCGATGAACATAACGGGATGTTATTTTGGTTGAGTCAGGAATGGGACTACCAGACAGCTCGCTCTTCTTCTTCAAATAGCGTAACCGTCGGAAGCACTAGTTGTGTACAACTTCAAATATGCTTGAATTATTTATATGATAAAAGTAAAACTTCCTAGATCAACGTAGAAACGAGAGTAGACGTGATACCGTTCCAGATGAAAGTAAGGTTGAAAACATCGTCAAAGATGAAAACATCGCCGACCCAGAAGTAATGAAGCGCTTCGACAAGATGAGTGCAGGAACGATGACGAATAGTAAGATGCAGAAATCCAGTTCACGTGCAATGACACCAGATTCCAGGCAAGCAGTGCGCATTGAGACTGTGGCTGCACTGTTTTGTACAGTCAGATCAGGAGGAGGAGGAGCTGTTTCGACACACAGCTCCACTATCCCAGAAGAGGGGGGGGGGGGGATAGAAAGAAAGAGGGGCAATGTTCCATTTCTTGACTATGAATGTAGTAGCAATAGTAGTAGTAGTGGCACATCCCAGGAACGAACGAACGAACTGGGTGTACTTCCCTCCCTCCCACATCCAACGATTTTTATCCATAAAACTTCATCCTGGTTCTCCTCCTCATCCCTAATGCCAGCAAACTCCCCATAACCTGTTCGCTTGGTCTTTTCAACGACTTTCCCCTCCTTTGAGGTCTCGTGTGTGGATACATACCCAACTTTGTTGTTACCCAAGTCATACCAATTTTATAGATCTCAGCGCTAAAGCAAACATGTCTGCAATTTTTTATCATAATTTTTTTTCAGATTCATTTTTTTTAAAATATATTCATTTCTCCACATGAATAGAATGAAAAAAAATGAAAAAAATAAATAAATCGTGGTAGCATTACATAAGTTTGTTTTTCCATATGACTTCTTTCCATATGAATCATACAATAAATCAATTAATCAAATTATGATCATATGTCAAGACAAGTGACACTTTATAAAGTTTAAAATAAAAGATTATTTCTCTTATTGAATGTTATAGGCATCAAAAATAAAAAAAAATAAAAGAAGGTAGAAGTAACTCTTACATTCTCGGAAAAAAAGCTTGTGAGATTAAAAATGTGTTTTTATTTGTTCTATATTATATTGGCAATCAACCGCTTTCTTAGGAATAAATAAATAGTAAAAAAGATTGAAAAGATAAAAAGACTTCATTGCAGCTAATATTGTACAGGGAAAGGGATATCGGTGAGGAAGCAAGTACTGCATTGTTGGGAGAGTGGGTCCAGAGAGAGAGAGAGAGAGGGGAACAAATCGAATGTCTCAGAGAGAGCGGATTTCATTTTCACGTTGACACACACACAGTCACCAATAGTGAATGGTCGGAGTTCAGTGATAATGATAATAAGAAGGAAGGAAGGAAGGAAGGGAGGAAGGCGGGGGTAGGTGCCGTGTGAACGCACCCTGAGGTGGGACGGGGGAGGGGGGGGGGACTGCTTCTTCCTCGTCCTGTGCCCATCAACTTCGGCACCAGCCTTGCCAGCCTAGCTTTGTTTTTTGCCTTGCTGTGCCTTTCCAAGCCTGCTGCTTCCCGCCACCGCGCGTTGTATCATTGCTCCGTCACCCCTCTGCCTCCTCTGCTTCTTTGTCTGCTTCTGTCTCTCTGCCTCTGTCTGTCTGTCGCTGCGTCTGTCTCTGCTTCTGTCTCTCTGCCTTTCTCTCTGCTTGCTTTGCATGCCCAATCGCTCCTCCTCGCCTCCGTGTCCCCCTCTCCCTCCCTCTTCCTCTCCCTCGCTTCCTGCTCTCTCCCTCTCGTCTCGTCTCGTCTGGTCCATTTCCCTCCCTCTTCCTTGTTCTTCCTGGCTCCTCCTCCCCATCTCCGCTGCCCTGATCTTCCCTTGCTATTTTAGCCTGGCTTCTGGCTCTGCCATTTCTAGCTTCTTTTCGCACCCACCGACTCCATCTCTCTATCGATCCTCTCCATCTCATCCATTTTTGAATGCTCAGTTAGTGCATTGTGGCTTCTGCTTACACGATCGTGTAAATTATTTTCGTCTTACATGGTCATTTTCAAATTTCAATTTTCATTTTCAATTTCTCCAATTATGCGGCTGGCGAAAAGTTGGTGTAGGGCGATGTCAGCCGGTGAATTTTGGATTTCTCTGCTACATGGCACACCCGATCAGATATAACATGTAAAAATAGTATGCGTTAGAGCCACCTTTAAACGCAAGCCAATATCTGTTATACGGTGGTTACATCTCCCACGACATACCCATACGCGTATCTTCTCTCACTTCTCATCTATTAGTGCTAATCAGGAGTGATTTTCAATGTGTGAGAACAACTAGACAGTTTTGTTGTACTATTCACAATACGATTCTCCTACTGCTGACTAGCACATATACCCTGGTCAATGACATATGAGTGTATTATATTCATGCTAATGATGTGTTTTATTATGTTCCCAGGTGTCTATTTGGAGCAATCTATACAATTTCAAAATGAAAACCCGGGGTCAAGCAACCTTTGGCATTCGGTTCTTAGTGCACGTGTTAGTAGCACTGTTTGTCATATCGTTTTGGGGAATATTGCTGCAGTATAGGGGAAGAATATTGGAAGCACGTAGGCCGGAGGTGGGCCAAATTTTGAATGGAGTTGTGTTGAGTATGAAAGACGTGAGGTTCAACCACAGTCGCAGTGTACTTCAATCCCTGGGCATCGAGGTTGTGCAGAAGGTACCACCATCATTTGAATCAAAGGAGGTAGACCAAGGGTTGGAGCGGCATGTTGGATCACGAAATTATCATACTGCTATGTTTTTGAAAGTTTGGTCTAATCGTATGGCATTCCTGGAGTGCATGGAGGAGTTTGTTTTAGATCCTACTGCCACAACGCACACATGGCGGTTTTTTTTTGAAGATGATATAGCGATTCATCCAAATATCACCTCTCAGAGAGCGAAGATGATTTTCACCAAGGGTCTGACACTTGCAAACAAAGAAGGGTTCTTGTATCTGGGCATCTGTGGACCTAATTGCACGGACTCTCGAGTTCTAGATAAAGACGTAGATGCTGCTCGATGTTTTGGTACATGTGCTCACGCATTTGGCTTTCAACAATGGAAAGCTGCTGAATTCCTCACAGATATGATTGGTCTTACCTTGAAGGGTGTTGAAGGTCCAGTTATTTTGAGTTTCTATTTTGATCGCTATTTGTTTGCATATGCACAAATGATTGAAAGACTGTGGGTGATAGGTAGTAACTTGCAGAGTCCTGTAACGACGGTTTGGGACCATTTTGGGCTTCTTTATCAGGATAGATTCCACTTTCAATCAGACATCGGCACGTAGGCTTCATAGAGTATACTACTTCCCCTTATTGAAGACGAAAACAGACAGGTTTTCGTTGTGCAACTAAACCAAGATGTTACGAAATGTTAGAACTGTCAAAATTCTTCAGTCGATGAAGAGTGATGGGGTCAGTCATGGATGAATCATATTGGTGCAACGATGAGATGGCGACATTATCAGCACATTTATTTTTGTTGTGTTGAAAATGTTGAGCCAGCACTTTACGGAGGGCACATTCTTTATGAAGTGTTAAAACATTATTTTTTTTCACAAACAAAAATCGGTTGGATTTATGAATCAATCATCCGATACGAGTCACATATTAACGTATTGTTTGTATTTTAGTGTAAAAATGTTTGGGATGCTCAGTATACAATCCGAAGTAATGACTTGAAACTTGAACACACAGATGTCTTCTAGGTGCGTCCTAACCCTTTCATGACTGTCAAAATCAAATGCTAGAGTAGTTGGTGAACCTGTTTCAACGTTATAGTTTAGTTTACATAAAAATTTACTATGTAAATAGTATGTTTAGGATACTTGTACCACTAAGTGTGAGGCTTTTACAGTCAGTCCACATGTGTACATAGAGGTCTTTGCAACTTAGTTAAGAAACAAGTAATCAAACGAGTTATTAAGCAAAAGGTACATTTTTGAAATTTTTGCAAATCAATACTTTGAACAATTTTCTTGTATTCTAGGATACCATGCATTGTATATATGTGAAGTTCAAGATTTTTCAATGCATATCAATTTCATACTGATCATCATAAACTTAAAATATCATCATACATTTTATGTTTAAGTATTATACTATATGATCCAGAATAGGCTGTGCAAATTTCATATAGTAATGCTACATCATAAAATGCTAGTTAATTGTAATATTCATTTGACTGGAAACAATTTGACAGTATTGAAGATGGATACAATTCTTCTTCAATTCTTAAAAATAGATTGCAACACTCACACAAACTCTAAATGTGAAATTTTAACTCGTAAATTGTTCATTTGAAGAATGTGTAAAGGAAGTTGATTATGGTTCCTTGAAATTATCGTTGGCCAGATGATCATTTTGGAAAGTTTTGAGATTTACAAAAACATTATTTTAAAATTATTATACATCCTTCTATTATTAAAATAAAATAAAAAAGACACTTACAGCATATAAGTTAATGTGTAAGAATGCTTGAAATAAGATATTCTATTCTTTGAATCTTTTTTGATACTTTGTTTTAAATACTATGTACCAATGTGATTCAAATCTTCAAGTAGTTTTGTTTCCTACTTTAGCTTTTTTAAATGTTATATTTTTAATAACATTTTTAAATTAAAAAATTCCGTCTAAAAAATAAGAAAAAATTTTAAAAATAGAATACTATTTTATATGACCTTTATTATTTAAAAATTAAATTAAAAAAGTCAAATTTAATATATTTACTGAATTCCATGCTGTTTTTATAATAAAATATTTACAAGTATATTTTACACATGCTATCAAATATGTAATATTTTTTAATTTTATTTAGAAACTTTATAAAAACAAAGTGATGTAACATATTTATATATTTTATATAAGAATAGTTTTGTACATTATTTGCAAAAAGCATGTATGTTAAGTTGTCTAACAAAATCAATCTTTTTTCTATTTATACTAATCTAATTATTTTTATCAAATAACTAATTAAATATTAATTTAGTTGTATGTTAACTTACTTCTATGTATTTTGTTGAAAATGAACAAACTTTTGTTTGTATTGTTAATTCTAGTGGCAACTTGTATTATGGCTAGTGTCTATGTTAAAACCAATATAAGGTTTGCTTGAATGAGACAAAATAGAATGCAGATAATTGTAAATAAAATTCATCTACATGAGACATAATTCTCTTCTTATAAATAAAAGATGTTGGAAGTAAGAGCCATCTTATTCTTTAATTGAAGTTAAAATTTTGAATATGTTCACATTTAGATCTAAATCTAGATTTGGATTTATTTTTATATTCACTCATAGCTAAGTATATTTTGAGTTTTGTGTTTATTATACATTGAATATTTGAAGTGAGAGTGTTACAAACATAATCAAAATTTTTACTTACTTAAATAAGAAGAATTAGGTAGAAATAAATAAAATAAATAAGTTGTAAAATATCTTATAGACAAGTATCTTAGAAGCTTTATAGATGGATATTTGACTTTATACGTGTTTGTAGATGATTGATAGATTGAAAACTTGGCTAACAAATTGGCCATGTATTACACATTCTAATCACTTATGTTATAAATTAGTCTTGTGGTGTCACTATAGGACCTTCAACATGTGTGCAATATGCAAGAAAAATTTCTTATTTCTAATAATACAAAAGTATATTGATTTTTTGGGTTTTTGATTTTTGGTTTTTGGTGTTTTTTTTTTTTTTTTTTTTTTTTTTTTTTTTTTTTTGGTTTTTTTGGTTTTTTTGGTTTTTTTGGTTTTTTGGTTTTTTGGTTTTTTTTTTTGGTTTTTTTTGTTAAGAGTACTAATTCACTATTCTTATTTTATTTTAGAAGTGAATAAATTATTTCACTTTTTTTCTTATGCTTTAAAATTTATAGACTATCAACCTTTCTATATATATATATATATATATATATATATATATATATATTATAATATTGATTCTTTCTTTAAAAAAAATGGACTATTTTTTCTTGCAAAAATTTTAGTTTGATATTAGAGATTGTAGATTAATTTTCTTTAATTTGACTTGTAAACTTATCAAAGTTGTTTTTTATAAAACTAGAAGAAAAAATTACAAATGCTACACCTAACAATAGAGAGAATAGATTTACAAATATTACAAATCTTCATGAGCTTGTTAATACTTTTAGGGTAGAAATATCATGTATAACTAATGTCAAACATAGAGGTACTATTTCTATACCTAAGAAAGAAATTAAAAATGAGGTCTAATATCTATGCCAAAAAATTTAATAATTGAAAGAAGCAAGTAAAATTACATTACAATTGAATTTGAATAGTCTTGATACTATAAGTACAAAAGAAGGAAGGATTAGTATGCTAAAGAAGTTTATTAGAATAATATTAGAACTTTGAGAATTTTTACATCAAAATCAAGTTCTATCTAAGGTCATATTCTTCTCAATATCTTAACGGATTTATTCAAATTAAATTTATAGATGCATTCTTATTTGTAAGTATTTATTTTTTATTTTTTTTTGATAGAAAATTATTTATGATTCTACATATGATCTAAATTTTTTATTAAAAATATTTATGGCTACTTTTAGAAAAAAAAGAATTAAAAAAAATAGAAAAAAAATTCTATCTTTACAACAAAGATTACATTAAACTATCACATATGCCATTGAATTCTAAAACCTTATTTGTAATGTAGATTGGAATAATAAAGCTATTATAAATTAATTTTGATGTAATTTAAAAGATAATATTAAATATTTATTATTGAAAATATTAATATCAAATTTATTAGAATAATTTATTTCATAAAAAATAAACTTTTTGAAAGATGCCAAAAACAAAGATTTGGTTGAAAATGAATATATTATTTTTTGACAACAATTCATAAGTTTTAAAAAACTTATTAATTAAGGTCAAAATTGATACATTACATTTCAAATTTCTCATCGAGCAAGAATAGTTTCAATAATGTCAAAAATGATTGTGCATATATTTTGAAGAACCAAAATAAATTATTTAAAATTCTATAAAAAATAAAGATAATTACAAAATAAAAGGCATGGTTTCTAAAAAAATAATGTGTTGGAAATTAAGTTTATCTAGCTATATTAGAAAGTATATGGTTAATATCTTGTGCAATGTCTAATAAAAAACTTTTTTTTTCTTTTCAAATTCTTTATCTTGCTTTATGATATTTATTTATTTAAATTTTAAAAAATACATAGCCTTTTTTTTGTTAAATTTAAAAATCTTGGTTTATTTTATAAAAAAAAAATTTAGAAAAAAGTAAAAAAATTCTTAATTAAAAAAACTAAGTTTGTGCATGTAGAAGTTATAGATAATTTTTGTTGTCTTTTGAAAATGTCATCTATGAAATTATTCCTATAGATATAGTGACTAATAATTATAGCATCTCAAAAATATTTATTATTATTATATTTTATTTAAACTAATTATTTTAGATTTATTGTGAATAAGAAATATAATCCTCAAATAGATTAGATTTTTTATAATATCATATTTTTCTATATTATATCTCAAAATTTTGTTATCCAAGTAAAAAGTCATAAATTTAGTATAATTAAATATTTATTGGTAGATGCAAGAACTTTCATATATGTTATAAAAGAAGGGTATCTTTTTGTTATTTATGCCATATCTATTTTTGATGGTAGAAAGACTTTTAGTACATTCTAAATAAATATAAAGATTATGAAGATATTTTTAAGAAAAAAAATTTAAATATTATTGTAAAGAATTACCTTTATGATTGCTTAATTAATCTTTAAAAAAGAACTCAACAACTATTTGAACCAATTTATAACTTATTACAAAATGAATTGGATGTAATTAAGAAATATATTGATGAAAATTTAGGTAAGAATTTTATGTGTAATGTAAAATTTCAAGCATAAAATTTTATTTTATTTGTGAAGAAAATAAAAAGATGTCATTGCAGATGTATATAGATTATTAAAGATTCAACAAGATCAATATTAAGAATAGGTATCTTTTATTTTAATATTAAGTCTTTTAAGTAATTGAATCAAGCAAAGATTTATAAAGAATATATAATTTGATAGACATGAAAGAAAGAAATAAATAGAAGACTTGATTTTAAACTAGGTATGGGCATTTTGAATAAAATATCATGACTTTTGGACTCACAAATGTACTAGTTATTTTTCAACATCAAATGAATAATAATTTTTTTGTCTATTATTTAGACTTGATGTTTGGTTTGTTAAGATAAACTTGAGTGGAATAAAAAAACTGAAGCAATATTTGAAGATTTGAAGATACTTCCTTGTACAACTCTAATTTTATTTTATGCTGATTTTTATAAGATCTTTTCATAGAAAAAAATGCATTGGATTTTTTTAAATGCAATATTTCACAAAAAAGAAGAGATAGAAATGTTCATTTTTTAGCTTTTTATTTATAAAAATTTACAAAAGTGGAGATTAAGTAAATCATCTATAACAAAAAACTTCTTCTAAATGTGGAATCATTTCAAGAATGGCACCATTATTTAAAAGACATTTTTAGCTTAGTAACTATTCATACAGATCACAAGAATGTCACATGATATGGCATCAGG